GTCCTGTGTAATGCATTTAAGGTGTGCTATTTTCTGTTTCCAGTGCAAACCGTTTATGTTAATACATGCATTTCTGTTGTAAACCTGGGTTCCAGGCACAACTAGCTTTAAAATTCAAGCCTTTACAAGCAGATATATCTGGATCATTATGTACAGAATTAATGTTGGTTATCTTCCTTCTGTTTTAAGTTGGTACTTAAATATGAATGAATTGCTATGATGTTTACTGATCTTCACCATATGAGCTACTCTTGGTCTCCCACCTTTCTGTCTCACTACATTCCCACCTACTTTTTCTCCTTAGTAAATGTCTCTTGTACTCCCACGTAAACCTCTCTTCTCACTAGGATCTGTAATTCCCAGAGGTCTATGTATTTTCTCATCTCCACAGTGTCTTTTATTTCCTTGGAGTATGCTTCCTCTATATGGTTCTCCTCCCTTCTATATGAGTCTTTCTCTCCAGTGATGTGCAGTTACTCTAGTAGCATTGCTATAGTAACTAGGCAGTTCTGTCTATATTCTCAGTTTGCAGATAACTTCTTATATCTGAAGGGACATCATTGATATTGCTCTACTCTGCCTCCAGAATCTGCATTTTGTGACAGCCCAATGCATGGTTTTCTCTAACGCGTGTGTGTATGTGTATAAATGGCGAGCTAGAGAACTGCTGCAGCATGAAGCCTCAATGCAGTGATGAGCACACATGATCTTAAGAAGCTTGGAAGTCCTGCTGCTTTTCTAAATTTTTACACTTGATCTCAGTTTCAAGTCAGAAATAGTCTTCAGTTTAGGCAAACAGTCCATAAAGTGTTACTAAAACCACAACAGTAAAATCTTTCTGTATATGCAGTAAAGCATGCTTGTTATACTCACTGGGGAATACTCTGCATTGTCTAAAAAGGGTCTTTGATCTTGTCTTCTCTGATCCTCCCCTTCTTCCACAGTCCTCAATCCAGCTGCTGATAGAACAGAGCCTTGGGGGCAAGCCCATACTCAGTTTGGTGTGTATTGATAGAGAGATTTTTTTTTTCTTAGGAGAGTGCATATGATCATCACAGGGCCAATCAGCGCTGTCCAGACAAAGGGTTGGGTCCTGCAGCCTCATAGAACAATAAGGGGAGAATGAAAACTCCCCCTACAAGCTTTAACCAGTGCTCTGCTGGACACTGATAGACGTATAGAAGTCACAAGACTGCTCCGACTGCTGATGAGGAAAGGAACACTTTTTAAGCTTAAAATATAGATGAGAAGATTAAATTGAGTGTTTTTTTTTTTGCTAAAACGGTTTTAAAAATCAAGAGATTATGGATACATTTTCCATTTTTTTGGAATGCTTTGGAGTCATGGAGGGAGAAAGATTTTTGTTTTTTTTTTTTTTTTTTGTTTTGTTTTTTATAGGGTGAAATGGACCTCCTTTTAAAGCTACATTTTGGGTTTATTCAAATGTACTTACAATGCCATCCCCCCGCCCCTCCCAAATCACACTGCTAGGGTCAAATGCTTGTTACTTATTCCTTGCTCCTGGAGCAGCAGCCAGCAACCTACACTTTTCTCCTGTGCCTCCGGTTTTGCACAGGCTTTTGCGATCCTCATGCACAATGCAGGACTACAGGTCATGCCTTGTACATAATGATGTCACAGTGCAACTGTGAGAGAAATCGCTTTGGGGGACTATCGCACAGCGTGATGAAAGCATGCTACAGTGAGAGATAATGTAGGTATTACAAATTATTCCTCTACTGTTACATTTAACAAGAAGGTAATGCTTGCAGTGGTTGAGGGGTGCTGCATGGTATTTTAAGGGTTTTTTTTTTTCTAATTTAATCCTGGAGTTCAGCTTTGACAAGTGCACCTAGAAAAACAGTGTGGTAGATGTCACCTTGGCATTTAAAATGTTGAAATATGTTCATTTCAGTGAAGTAATATATTTACTATCTTTTTGCTTTTCTGTAAAGTTAAAACTTCATAAAAGTCAAGTAATATTTCTTAAATTAATTACAAGAAATGTTTAGGTTAATAGTAGTATCAAATGTACAGGGCTGGATTTTCATTACTGAAGCACGGTTTTTATCACTGCTTTGAGCCCTCTGCTAACATCACCTTTTGATATAGGAATGATGTCTCATATCAAAAGCTACTAAAAGCTCCTTTTCGTGGATAATCATACAATATCTGAATTTAATACAGCAATTCAAATATAAAAAGGAACCGTTTAGCTATAACAAAAAAAAATAAACAGGGTCAACTACCTCAAAATATTGGAACCAATGAAAACACACGTGCTTAACATGGTTTTCTAAGATATGTGGGAATGCACTCCTTGTATTAACATCAATGTTCTATTGCAACTTAATTGTATAAGAAATGTGAATTCATACATACATGAACCCCAGTTAAAGAAAATTTGCAAAAAATAAATGAAGCAATTAAAACTGCTGAATTTATTTAAATAATGTAAGGTAACAACTGTAATAATTTAAAAGATATGAGCTCACTGAAAATACACTATTCTATTGGGGCCTCTAAAAATGGGTACTTCTTTTCCATCTTAGAGGGTTCATTGCTGAGTTGGATCAGAAATGAAATGGATGCCACATATAGGACATCTGTATCCATCAAAAGTTGAAGGAAAATTGGATCCATGTGATCCCTATGGGTAGCTGGATGTAAACAGATATGCTGCTGTTTATTTCCATTTACATTCATTCCATTCCTTTCCATTCATTTTTTAAGCTAAAGCTTTAAGAGACTACCGCTCTTGTTTTAGCTCCTTGTGTCAAGTCTGCTCTTTTGAATATGAATAAAAATGAAAGGAAACCCTATTGAAAGGAATATTGTAGTATCATTATTGTGAAAACGCTAGTTTCCTGGCTGTCATGCAGGTGCATTGCCTTCAGTGCTTCTGCAGTTCTGCACTAGTATAACAATAAGGAATTCTGACAATCTAAGACTCTGACTGTGACTCTGTATTGATAGTGGACACAACCAGGCAACAAGCTTTAAGAAAAAAAAAAAACACAACCCACTGCCTGCAGGAGCAGCCCATATATGTCATTCATGATGGGGTCATTTTAACACGTTAAGATACAGCTCTGTATAAATGTATAAGCATCTGAGAATTATATTCATCAAACGTAATCAATCATGTTTTGAAGCACTGCTGAGTATATATCTGAACTATATTGTGTCTGTTTAATGTTTAAGTTCCACTTTAAAATTTAGATTTGGAAAGAGTACATGGGGTAATATAGCAGAAAACTGTCACTTTGGTCAGTTTGAAAGGAGAGATTAAGACTCACTACACAAGTAAAGCAATAAATATGGGATCGGAGGTACTCCAAGAATCCATGTTGCCCAGATAATTTTACTAAATCGTATTCATTTTTTTCCCCAAGCTGATGAGGATGAAGATAAGGATGATGACTTTCGAGCTCCCCTCTACAAGAATGTGGAGATCAAAAGAATACAAGTACGGATGAAGTGGTGTGCTACCTGTCACTTCTACCGCCCACCTCGCTGTTCACATTGCAGTGTCTGTGACAACTGTGTGGAGGTAAGTCCTGTGTATCTCTACAACAATTAAGAATGAAGATAAATGGAAAGTGGTGCTGTTTGACGCTCATAGCAGTCAGGTTAGCTCTTTCATAATTTCACAGTTTGAAAGTGGCATCATTCATGAAAATTGTTCTTGCTCAGCTTCTTGCTTCCTGTTATTACGTGACAACTGTTGTGCTCCCGTGCTTTGACTCGGTCACATGCTTCTGGTAGACTACAAGCAGTTCTGCTGACACACATTGCACTGGCATGGTCCACTGTTGTCACTATCAGGGATCCAGTCTTGAGCAAGGTTGTGCAACCGAAAAGTTTTAGCTTTAGACATTTTAACTTTGCGTTGGCCTGCTTTGTAGTAATAAAGGGCTACCTAGCCTGAACTTGTGATTTTAAGCCGAAAAGGATTTAAGAAGCCAAAGTATTAGCTTATTGTCCTCATAGTTCATTATAGAGCTGAAGTGGTTGTTAAAGTAAAAGGTTATTTACTTCAATGCGTTCTCTGCATTAAGATAAAAAACCTTTCAATTTCAGCTCCCCCCCACCCCCCCTTAAATAATTACCTAAGCCCAATCTTGATCCAGCACTGTGCCTGTCTGCTGCTACACTGCTCTCTCTCCTCTCCCACCAGAGGCTCAACAGCAGCAGGAGTCATTGGCTCCTGCTACTGTCAATCAAATCCTGTGAGCAGGGGGCAGGGCTGAGTTGCACTGTGTGTGTGCATAGATGCACACAGTGCAACTCAGGAGGATCGAGACGGCATAGGAAGTATCCCCATAGGAAGCTGCGTATTATGGGGGCATTCGAAGAAGAGGAGGAGCTGAGACTGCTAGCAGGGACCCCAGAAGAGGAGGACCAGGGCACAGAGCAGGTAAGTATGACATATTTGTTATTTTAGAAAAAAAAAAATTAAACCTTTACAATCATCCTAAGAAACTAAGGATGATGTGACAGATATCCATAGAGACGAATTTCACACCCTAGAAGCTGTTCACATACAGGTAAGCCTTAAGTAGATATTCTCATTAAAATTTAATTATATTTTCTGAACAGGTTTGTGCACGTGACAATGCACAGACATGGATGCTGTGCAGAGGACAGTGTGCCTAATGGCCACAATGAATGTAATTCTAGGAGATGATTTAAGAATAATAAATGAAAAGTATATGCTTAGGGACTTTTTTTAAAAAATGTTTTGTGAATGTCAAACTATTTTGAGGGTTCCCACTAATTCCTTCCTTGAGGCAATTGTTTTCACTTTTTTTTTTATTATATATTTTTTAGACCATATTTTGGTAAATCATCGATGCATTTATACCTGAATTTGTTTTTTCTTTTTGCAATTGTAGGATTTTGACCATCACTGCCCCTGGGTGAATAACTGCATAGGACGCAGAAACTACCGCTATTTCTTCCTGTTCCTCCTATCCCTTAGCACACATATGGTTGGGGTGTTTTCATTTGGCCTCATATTTGTTCTTCACCATCTGGAGATGTTGGGAGAGGCCCACACCAGTATTACGTATCCTGTCTGCAAAGATTTAACAATACTTGTGTGTTTTTATAATGCATATAGTTTTTATTTATTTTGAGTAATATGTTTGTATCAGTGTGCATGCTAGAAAATGTTTCTACAAAAATCCTATATACTACTCAATTTTATGGTGGGTCCTTAACGGAGGGGCCTCTGTTCGTAACAGTCAGATCCTTAGAAGATCGTAATTGTAGCAAACGTGTACATCCTTTTGGACAGTGCTTGACAAGTAACCGGGTCATATTAACTTCGAACCTCTATCTAGTCATAATAAAAGCAGAAGTCTTGGTATTGTACTTCTACAAATGCTTGTGGAAGCCGTACAACTCTGTCAAGCTGCTTTTGCAAACATGGTTCTGATTCAAACCTGTGAGGTAATTTATCCATACTTCTAAAACGGTATGGCCTAAAGTATGTAGATATTCTTTCAAATATATTGAGTTCAGGTGCTCAAAGCCAGGTCCATATAGACATGTTTTAAAGAATGGCCTGAAAAGAGCCCTGATATCAACCATATGAAACACGTATTAGGATGACTTGAAATGCTCATTTCAGGCTACCACTTTTTGTCCAATATCAGTACCTGAGCTCACACATTTTCACAAAATCTCATGGAAACCCCTTTTCAGAAATGTGGTGTCTGTTTAAGCCGTTAAGAAGGGCCACCTCCATGTTAATGGCCACAGTTTTGAAAAGGAATGTCAAGCAAACACATGTAGGTGTAAAGGTTAGGCGTTCACATGCTTGGAACTTATAGTGTATTTAAAATGAACTGAATGGGGAGCAAAGCTTGAAGACTGTTTCCCATTATAGCTACAGCCTTGCCATATAGAGTACCAGACTCTGGACAAATGCAGAACACCAAGCCCTGCACAGAAAAGGTCTTGTCAACTGCACTTTAGTTTTTCTTTGCACAGAGAATCAGACATTATCAGATTCAAATGGAGAATCACACTGAATTTCTTAACCCTTTGCCCTTTTGCTCCTACTTGTTCGATCACAGTAGCGAGAAAATTGGAAGGTGAAGGATGGAAGTTTTTTTCTTGAAGCAGTTCAGTTCAATTGTGATTGTGGTTTTACTTTGGGAAAGTCTATTTGATATTTATCAAGTCATCGAATGTATTAGAGGATTTTTGTACGAATGGTTGTTGGAAAGTTTTAAGCTGACCATACAATAGTAAATTTTCGAAGACTTGTAGTTTCCCTAGCTGCAGGGTTGCCAATTCTTGGTTTAAACAACTTAATATTAGAACATCAAATTATATGGTTTACAGTCATGTGTAAGTGAGGGTTTGGTGTTTTGTTCCACAGTAAACTAATAGTATTGAGCTTGTCTGACAATATCAGCTATATTAACACAGCCAAACAGCATAATATAACGCTGAATTCCTTAGCTATTGTGCACAGAATATCAGTCATGTGTGTGGCCGGACTGTTTTTCATCCCTGTCATTGGCCTCACTGGATTCCATATAGTGCTGGTTGTTAGAGGCCGCACCACCAATGAGCAGGTAATAAGACTGCTACACATTTAGAAATGGTCATGACTTGTTTCTTTTGTTACCTTCTCTGGCTTAATTTGCATTGTACCATTTGCTGTTGGTTTGTTGTTTTCTCATATTATGGCTTTTACATCTGCCTAGGTGACGGGGAAGTTCCGTGGAGGTGTTAATCCTTTTACCAGAGGATGCTGTGGAAACATACAGCATGTGCTATGCAGTCCATTGTCACCCAGGTAAGAGGAGAGTTACTGTGAAATAAAACACTCCATTTCTGGTAACAACACATTTTTAAAGAATTCAAGAGACCATACCCAAGCTCTGTAGGTTGGTGCCTCTTCATCTCTTCTTTCAATTTTGGATAGCAAATATAAGCATTTGTGTTTGTATCATTATTCCAGAGAATGATATAACGTTTGCTGGGAGCAAGAATTGATTCTCAACCCCCTCCTAAATGCTTCAGAATATACTTGTTTTATTAAAGCTGAACCCTGGGCTTTTATAAAAAAAACACAATTTAATCCAGTTATATGTTTGTTAAAAAAATTAAATGCATTTTGATCCATATATTTGTGATAAATGTTTAGGCTGTGTTGTGCAAGTGCAATAGTTTCAGGACATTGTTTAGCCTAATGTCCAAAAGTTTAGCTGGCCATACAGTATATGAATTTCGATAACTTCCCTAGGAAGCGGGAGAAATTCACCCAGTGTGGGAATCTAAAGAGGCAGGTGGAAAATTATCAGCTGGAAATAGCCCCCATACAATAAGATCCAGTCGCTGATGGAGTAGTACAGTAGTCACAGCAGGAGATTCGTCCATGTGCATTGTATACCATGGAAGAATTTTAATTTGTTTTTGCTCAGCCTGCAGGCTGAACAAAAAAACTCAGTGTACGACCAGCTGTATAATTACCATCTCCTATAGTTCATAGACACAATATCCTATAACGTATACATGGTGCCTCCTCTTCCCTGATCCATGAATATCACCCTAAAGGTGGCCTTCCTTTACTAAACCACTAAGCAGTCCAGAGTCATTTTAATTACCTTCAGTTACCTCATATAGATATTGCATACTTTCAGAAGACCTACCCTAAAACAAGCTTAACCCCTCACTATTTTGACACACATGCTCCCCCCTCCCCCCCACAAAGACATGCCATTTTTAATCAGAATTGTTACGTACTCCCAGCTTTCATTGGCATGCTGCTTCTCATCCATTTTAAATCAATGTAGTATTGCTTGAAGTGGAACTTCACTCTTTCAATCAACAATTACTATTTTGAATCCTTGTGCTGCTAGCATTAGTAAATAGATAGGCATATATATTATATTTACTTGTTTTAAACTGTTTTTCACATTTTAAACAGTTTTTTACATTTCTTTAGTTACTTCCTAGTTCAAATGATGTCATATACATCGCAGGAGTATTCAGGAGAGGGGGAGGGTCTTTCTCAGCGAAACATACCCTTCTGCCTGCCTTGCTGAGCTAAGGGCAGATGGATTCCAGGAAGTAAATGCTACATGAATTATTTGACCTTACTCAAGATGGGCATGGTTGGAAATGCTAAATGTTTAAACATTGTTTGAATGTTTAAAAATTAATTAAATAGCGCTTTTGGTATCTGGTGCTCAGATACAGTATAGTTCCACTTTAACTACAGTAGAATAAAGCAAGGTCTCCAACCTGTCTGTGCTCTTGAGCGCTTGGACTACAAGACTTACTGAGCACACAATCTTTTAGCAGGTAAAACTGCTCATGTATAAGCATTTTACTGGTTTCATTTTTACCAGGAGTTTTTTCCTTTAAGGTTCAGCGATAAAACATCCAAATAATTTAAATAAAGTAATTATTCCAAAATTGCTATTGCGTTATCGTGCTTCCTGTTTGAAATATTATTTAACACTGGATAACAACACAAAGTATATCTGTAGGACTATCTTCAAAATTAACAGTTCACTAGTTTCTTCCTGTTTATAAAACTGCATATACAGCAGGTGTAAGTATTTTGCAAAACTTTGCACATACTGAAAAATGCCTGCAAATTTATCATAGCGCTTTCCTTGTAATTAAACGGTATGCTGGATTATGAGCATTTTAACGAAACAGTAAGTTTAAACAAAAAGTATAGAAATTTGAAAAAAGAAAAATGTTATTACATTAATATTTCATCTTAATATCTTCTAAGATTTATTATGATCACACAGAGCAGGTAAGAAAAAAATGCAGCCTGGTATGCTAGTCCTGGTAAAGATTCTGTCCTAAGACCTACATATTTTTTTCTTCAAGCAGATGAATGAAAAATGCAATTGTAGACATAAACAGCATGCCTATGTTATCTGCAATCTGTGTCTGTTAGTATGATATTGGAAAACCTAGTCAGGCTTCAATATTGCATCCAGAAACATTCTTATCACATTTGCTGCTAAGCAACAATCTTAACAAGTAGTGCCGTTTTATCAGCAAAATTTATCATGGCTTGGAAAAAAAAAAAAGGTATAATGTCGTTGCAAGCCATAGTTTTGAAGAAATTGTTTCCTTTAAAAAGGGCCAAACTTAGACACTTTTTACTTTCCTTATGGGCTGGCTGAAATTTGGCCCAAATCAGTGGGTTTTTTTTATTATTTAGGTTTAGAACAAAATCTGCTAATTTTTAAAGAAAGGAGCCAGTGGAAAACACAATCTTTAGTTAAAGTAGAACTTTAGGTAGTACATGGGCCAACAGGCAGGATTTTTAATGCAGAAGAGACATGCTTTGTCTCTTCTGCAATAAAATCACCTACCTGCTTGCGCCTATGCAGTGAGCTGCATGCATGCAGTTCATTGAAGACATTGGGCAATGCCGAAGCTGATGGGAGTGATGTCATCCCGAGCCAGCCATTTAAAGTCGCTGGCATTTGATACCCGGAAGCTGGCTGTTTGAAGATGCCATTAGGGAGCTCCAGGGCGTCACATCACTGAAGCCAAGGTGAGTATAGTTCCACTTTAACTACTTCCCTGCCGCTCTATAGTAGAACTACTGCTACGGGGGTGGCAAGGCTGTGCAAAATCGCGTATATATACGTGATTTGCATTTCTGGGTAGGGGACCGCCCTACCCGTGCCACCATTGGTGGCTAGGCATGTCAATCACCGGGTCTCAGCTGGAGTTTCTTGTAAGAAATCCATACTAGGCCCTGTCATGACTTGCACAGACTGACCGGTTTCGCCGGACCCACCCGGCTGCATCAGAGGCACTCTCTGCCTATGCCTCTGATGCAGCCGGGTGGGTCCGGCGAAACCGGTCAGTCTGTGCAAGTCATGAGAGGGCCTAGTATTGATTTCTTACAAGACTGATAAGTATCACTCTCATGGCATTATGGGACATTTATGTTCGTTTTGGTTGGATAGGGTTACAAGTATTAGAAAGCCATGTTGCTGCTGTTTTTATATGCTCCTGTCTGTTTCAGAGTTGGGCTAAACAGTGTGTGTGTGTGTGTGTGTGTGTGTGTGTGTGTGTGTGTGTGTGTATCTATCTATCTACACACACACACAGATACCTTTTGACATGAACTGCTAGTGGTGAGGGAGTCCAATTTTGTCTATGTATGGAATCTAGGATGCAAATACAATTGAACAGCCCCTAAACAGAACAGATTTAATCAGACCTGTTATTCAACAGAAGTGTACATGTTGAGGAAAATTTGTGCACAAAAGTCTACGTACATATCTTTGATAACCAGATACTGTTTATAGTGGACTTTGAAACAATTATCCTTTTAGGTCCCTGAACATGATTGTTTAATGGTTTTTAGTGGGGTTTGTTTTGTTCCAAGTGTGTTTCTTTGTCATTTTTAATTATTAAATGAAATATTTTTTATGTTAACTTGTTGCCGACCGCAGATAGCCGAATGACGGCTGCACTGCGGCCGGCCAGTTCTGAGTGGACGTCATATGACGTCCCCCCAGAACGCGCTCTCCTGCGCGCCCCAGGGGGCGCGCACCCGGCGATCTCCGTGATCGCTGTGTCCTACGGACACAGCTGATCACGTGATGTGGTAAAAGGCCAATCACAGCGGCCTTTTACCACCTGATCAGCGGTGTCCAATGACACGCTGATTAGAGGGAAATGCAAGTGCCGGTTCTCGGCTGCACTTTCCTCACGCTGTCAGATCGTGAGGAAAGTACTGCCGAGAATCGGCAGTTGTCAGAGCGGGGATCGGCACCGATCATCAGGGCACTGATTATCAGTGCCCTGATGATCGGTGCCCAGCAGTGCCACCCGCAAGTTCCGCCCACCTGTGCCCTGCAGTGCGCCCACTAGCTCCGCCCACCTGTGCCCAGCAGTGCACCCACCTGTGCCCAGCAGTGCACCCACCTGTGCCACTCTGCAATTTCACACACCTGTGCCCAGAAGTGCCACCTACCTGTGCCCAGCAGTGCCACCCGCAAGTTCCGCCCACCTGTGCCCTGCAGTGCGCCCACTAGCTCCGCCCACCTGTGCCCAGCAGTGCACCCACCTGTGCCCAGCAGTGCACCCACCTGTGCCACTCTGCAATTTCACACACCTGTGCCCAGAAGTGCCACCTACCTGTGCCCAGCAGTGCCACCCACCTGTGCCCACCCACCTGTGCCCACCAGTGCCACCCACCAGTGCTGCCCACCAGTGCCACCCACCAGTGCTGCCCACCAGTGCCACCCACCAGTGCAGCCCAGCAGTGCTGCCAGTCAGTGCCACCAGTCAGTGCCCAGCGGTTGTGCCAGTCAGTGCCGCCAGTCAGTGCCCAGCAGTGATGCCAGTCAGTGCCGTCTATCAGTACCCATCATTAGTGTCACCTATCAGTGCCGCCTATCAGTGCTGCATATTAGTGCCGGCTATCCGTGCCACCTCATTAGTACTGCCTATCAGTGCCCTTTAGTGCTGCCTATCAGTGCCCATCAGTGCTGCCTCATCAACGCACATCAGTGAAGGAGAAAAATTACCTGTTTGAAAAATTTTATAATAGAAACAAAGAAACTTTTTTTTTTTTTTTTTTTTTCAAATTTTTGGCAATTTTTTATTTATAGCGCAAAAAGTAAAGCGCCCAGTGGCGATTAAATACCACCAAAAGAAAGCTCTATTTGTGAGAAAAAAATGATCAAAATTTCATATGGGTACAATGTTGCATGACCGCGCAATTGTCAATCAAAGTGCGGCAGCGCTGAAAGCTGAAAATTGGCCTGGTAAATAAGGGGGTATAAGTGCCTGGTAGCAAGTGGTTAATGATATCTGTTTTTCTTCTGTACAATGGTTGAAAAAGTAATTTGGGTAGAGGTATTGAGCTAAATCCATTTTTTCTTTTTTGAAATTATTGCCCCTCTGGTATGCTCCCTCGCCTACTTAATGAGACATATAACAAATAAACTTTTATCCTAGAAGGATCAAGTATTTTTTAACTTTTTGTAATAATGCAATTTAATTACATCTGTAGTAGCTTATGTGTATATTTATAATGTTTTGTACCTGTTACCTGCTGATGTCACTGTTCTATTTTGGAAATCATTATGAAAATGCAACATATTTTGATATAAAAGCTTTCATTGTTTTACGGCTACCTAATAGAGAAACTGGATTGATTACGGCACATGTTGCAATAAAGTGAATGACTATTTCAGCATTCAAATCTGAACTGTGTAGTTTGGCACACAGTTGACGTTTGTGCTGGGAACCATAACACAGACTAACAGGGTTGTTTCTTTTGTTCATAAGGTATGTGGTTGAACCAAAGAAGAGGCCCCAAATCACACTGAAACCTCCATTCATTCGTCAAGATCTGTCAGAAAGGCAGATAACTGTCAAGATTAGCGACAATGGCATCCAAGCTAACTTGCACCGTTCCAAGGTGATATTTTTGTAATTTGTGGGTTACTTTATGTAGCAGAAAATGTTTATAACCTTACCATCATTTTTTTTTTTTTTCCTAAATTTTAGTCCAAAGGTAGTCTAGAAGGCATAAATGATAAGTCTCTGGATATACAGCCACCTCTACCTCCTAAAGGTGACCCCACCATATATTCAGACCTGAAGGGACCTCTCGGAAACAGTGAAGTGATAGGCAAGTAGCATGCTTTATACAAAATTCAATGCCGGTACATGAAAAAAAATCACTTTTATCAGGGCAGTGATTAATAAAGTGGTAGTAAACACTCTCCAGTAAATGTTGCACATTTAAATCAGCAGTGAAAGCCATACAAGTTGCTGTGTGTAGGTGTCACCTAACCTTGCTTGTAATCTGTCCTGTTCTTTTTATTGACGTCGTCGGCTCACGCTCATCATTTCCCCAGTTCACAGCAAGGTCTTTGTGCTGTCAGTCCAATAATAAGTATAAGAATGCCGTGTCCATCATATCCTTTCTCTGCGGCACAGTGCTGAGATACCACGGGATTACAATCCCATTTAGAAGTTCCTGATGCCCCCAATTTGATATTTAGCATCACAGAGGGTGTAAATATCGACATAGCAAAGAGGTCTGGAGTGATACATGGAACACTGTCGCCATAGTAATCCTGGAACCAGAGCGCGGCTTGACTAAGAAATCATTGTGCATGTGCGAGATAACTGCAAGGAATGGCAGAAAGGGCGGAAGTATATTGCACTGCGGCCTTAGAAGATATTAACATGGCGCTAGCTTATCCTGAGAAGAGAGAATGAAACTGCTGCAAAAAATTAAGAAACATGCGAAAGGGGTTAATTATAATGCAGAATGTGTTGGAATACTTTTATACTTGCTTTTTTAAGAAGCAGCATCAGAGGGGCAGAGTTTACTACCACTTTAAAGCTAAAATACAGTAAAAAATGCTTGGGCACAAAGCACCAATCACATACGCTACCTTTAGTAAAGCATATCCCATGTTCTGCTGGTTACTCTAAAAATCCTCTGGCGTGTTCTTCTGTAGAGGTTAAGAGCATTTGTGACTGTGGAGAACTCCACAAGACACTGTTCGCCTTCCACTTCCTTTCCCCTCATGCAGTCAAAAAAAATAAGTTTTCTTCCAGAATGCAGCGTTTTATGAGTGAACTAGGGGTAGATGTGAATGGACAGGGGAGAGCCTGTCAGAGTGCCTTACATTCTGGAAGAAGAATAGGCGTTTTGTGAACAGATGAGGACAGTAAAGGGGGAAGGCAAAACGAGCTCTTCACAGTTGCAGTCACTGCTTCTAATCACAAATATGTGTCTCTTATTCTCAAAATGTAATTTTCATAGTCATCTTTCTTTATATGTAGAAATTATCTATCTATCTTTCTATCTATCTATCTATGTATCTTTTAATATTCTTTATATTTCAAAATATCCACAAGGGTAAAGTATCATTTCTACTGAGGTCACAAGAGTGACATTAGAGTAACATTCTTTGAGTTATAGCTTTCCCTCAACCTAAATGTGTATTTTTAATATTTCTACTTTCAGACAGTGGATTATCACCAAAAATGATCAGCCCTCCGACTCCAGTCATGTATAAATATCGTCCAGGGTTTGGAGCAAACCCCAAAGTTCACTACCATCCAGCCACAGAACAGGTAATTGGGGAAATACTTTCATCATGTAACATTAGAACATGTATTCTTCCTCCTTTTGGTTGCATTGATGTTTGTCCTTGAAAATCATAATAGATCGTGACTTTGCGCCTTGCCTTTTTGCTGTTTTTGCTAATGCCTTTTTAATCGTTACTTTATAGAATAGAAAGAAATGTTCTATGAAAATAGGGGCTTTTTTACACAATCAAAAAATTAGCGATGTAGTTAATTGTGTTGTCAATTAAAGACATGATGTTGATTACTATAAGTGAATTGGGTTGCAGTATTTTTATCAAATACTGCACCATGCATTAAAGTCCAGTCTCTCGGTCTCCTCATTTGGATGCAGCGGATAATTAGCATTGAAGACCAACCCCAACAAAAGTTTTTTAAGAAATCTCTCTATTTATCTCAAGGGGTTGGAGTTCTACCCCATCAGGCCAGGCAATTGACTGGAGACTGTGATCCACATGGGTAGAATCTGCTCTTTATTGCAGAGAGTTGTCATTCATAAGGAGTCACTGTCTGACAGTGAATGATTGGAATAAACTAGCCCATAATGGTCAGTTTGAAGAAGAAGAAAAAGTTTGGGATGACACCACTGCTTTTTTTTCCTAGCTATTCAGGTAGGTATTATATTTTGTGTAATTTTATTTCATATTTCACACTGTACTTGACTAGAATAATGGCTGTACAATGCAAGCAGCCACAAAACTGTCCATTTTCACAAAGTGTCTAGTCTGCTTTGCATCTTGTTTGAACTCCAGAAGCAATGTTTTCTTGTTTCAAAAGCTGGAATCCAGTTTTTCCCCTTACAGATAATACGGTTTTACTCTTGTATTGGTAAGTAAGGTAACAAGACAAAACTGTAAACACATGCTAAAATATTTTTCTGATTATAGATTGCTATGCAAGAAAATCTAAAGAACAGCATTTTATTAGAGGAAGATTGCCGCAGTCACGATTATCAGTCGGAGCCCAACCTAGATCTCCAAGAATATCGTAAAAACTCATTACACAAGTCTTACCAGTCATCCCCTCTGCAGCTAGACAGCTTCACTGCCAACACTCGCTCGTTAAGCCTGAAGAATACGGGGCGTCGTGAGTCAGAGAAGATTCCACTTCAAATGGTGAAATCTGAGGGTGACCCACATACTCCGTACAAGAGTGTTTTTTCGCCCAATGCCCTGTCTAATCGCAATGGGAGCTTATCTTATGACAGCTTGCTCAACCCAATGTCTCCAGCATCTGCTAAATGTACTGCACACACTGCCGCTGGTTCTGTGGGATACCACTCACCATATATGTCTGCCAAAATGTGCCACCTACGAGGAGCAGAGCGCCAACCGGTGCAAAGTTTCAGCCCTGTACTGAGCAGGGCGTCTGGACATCCGAGAGAGCCTTCCCCTGTGCGCTATGATAACCTCTCCAAATCCATTATGGCCTCTATCCAGGAAAGGAAGGAAATGGAGGAACGGGAGAAGTTGTTACATTCTCACACAGATTCTGTGTTTGCAGACTCAGGGGTCTATGATACCCCGAGCACATACAGCCTACAGCAGGTCAGCTCACTCTCAGAGAATCCACGTACTGCTCCAGGACGGTATGGTTCTAAGGACAATCTGCTGGTTGGGGCGGCTACTTTCAGTTCCAGAAATCCTATTCTTCAGTCCTCTGTATCCTCTCTTTCCAGTGCAGTCTCCAGAGCACCTAGGACTTCCACCACCTCTTTACAGGCTGACCTAGCCAATAACAATATACAAAGTCACCAACCCTTACAAGGGCGAGTGAGCAATGGGTCCTACAAGTCCCCTGGCCATCAAGCTCCATCATCACCCTCTGGTATACCTAGGTCTCCCTCTTATGGGGGAGCAAAATCTGTCACATTTCTTAACACCATGGAATTTGCAGAAGGACATTCCATCATGGGTCAAAGGTAAGATGTTCTGTGGTACAGATCTGTATTTTTGGATTGCAATTGTATTAAATCACACTGTACTATTAATGTGTTTACATATTTCCAAGCTCCGTTTAACAAGTTGACTCTATCACAAATGCTTTACAAATGATAATGGGCACCAGCTGAAAGAGAGATTTTGCCATCAGTTTAGGAAGGCGTTTTATGTAGTAGAAAAGTGGTTAAGATGTGGAGGGTCTCTACTTCATGATTTAAAAGTGGCGAAATCCTTAATAAAATTCAAAAAAAAAAAGAAAAGGATTGGATGATATTGTTGCAAACCATGGATATAACAATTATACTAAGGGAAAAGCTGGAAAGCGTTTGTTCCATGAAATGTATCCCCTGTAAACAAAGCAACAACAAATTTTTAGGGTTAGGTTCTTTTTTTCTGGGAGTACTTCACTTTATTGCCATACAATAGTTTTAAAGCACAGTGTTTTTGACCCGTGGCCTTTATAAGGTGTGAAGTCACAAGTCTGAAATGTTTTACAGTTAAACTTGACTTCACCTAACCTACCACCAAAAAATATCCCTAACACTTGTCCCTGTCTTAAAATACAAAAACATGAAACAAAAGCTCTCCCTTCACCCCTCCCGTACTGCATTTCTTAATTGAGATCCCAGTACATGCACAGACATGTTTACTGACGTGAAATGCCTGATGGGATCCCTTGTTCATCCTTTTGCCCTTTTTGGAAATGGGGAGCATCTCCTTAAACAATGTTAAGTTTAGCCTTTTCCTTCCTTTCTACTGCATATGCAGGGTAAACTATGTATATCTAAAGCCAAAACTTTTCTTCTTATTTATATATATTTATTTTTTTAGATAATGAAGTTTCTTTATGTAAGAAAACACCAATGCTGTTCACTGCCTTGTGTCAAGTGAGGCAGTCAAGGGCAAAATATTAAGAACTAAAATATGTAAGCAGTTTTAATTTTCTGCTACTTAGTGATTTAACGGTTTGTTGGCAGTCACTTTTAAACCCCTAAAATTTTGGTGTTGTAAATAGGGTAATTGCCAAGAAGGGTTAAATTGCTTAATGGCATGGGGTCAAAGGAAACCTGTGCTGAAAGGAATAGTATGTTACTATTGCTGTTTTCCTTCTGAACAAAAAAACAATTTCTTGCCCTTTTTGTTTCAGTAGTCTTGAGTCACTGACACAGAACAAGCATGTATGTGAAGTCAGAACTCCTGTTTTGCATACTTCTTCCAGGTCAGTGAATCAAAAAATAGTGAAAAAATTACATTAGCATAGCCAGGTAGGTAGCATTTTCAGAAGTAAAGGTTAAAAACTTCAGCTTGCGTATTTCTTTTAGTATTTTATTACAGGTCTTTAAAAAAATGCTTGTAATGCTGAGAAAAGAATATGCTAAAATAGGCATGTAGGAAGATAGCTGGCTGTGTGTTTTTTGTTTTGTTTTCTGCTTTTTTTTGTGTGTGTTTTGCCATGTTTGGATTCATTTTTGTAGAATCACTGTTCTGTAGTTTCTCTCTGTGGGAGGATAGAATGTAAAGGGGTGACTGAGTAGCGTAGACTAGAGTTGGCATACTAGAATAACATGGTCCTGTTTTTATGGAAAGGGAAAGGTATTTTAATTTTAAGTATTTGTGTGACTACAGCGGTGTGGATTTTTTTTTTTTTTTTTTTTTTTTTTTTTTTTAAACTACTTTTCTAAGGGACTAAATTCGGGTCCCAATCTACTTGTCCCTCTTGACAATCTGCTTGTCCTGATAAAAAAATAATTTTAACCAAAACTGTATTTATTTAAATCTGAGGTGCTTTTAGGAATGTCTGGGTCCTTTTAAAAAACGAATGGGGCTTTATTGCAACTTAAACAGTGCAATGTTAAAAACATGAAAAGTTTATTTGCTATTCACCTCCCTGCCTGTCTCCAGCACCACAGCTGGGGACTAGCAGGGAAGAGAGAGACTTTGCAGTGTAATGAGCACCGATTGTGTGCACGTCCGGAAAGGGAACAGCCAAATGAAGCTCCGGTGTTCGCTCAGTTTGGTCCCGTTCACAGCTGGGCATTTTGGGATTGCGCCAGACACAAAAGCAGATTCAGGTGGTATTATTTTCAATGTAGCATGATTTACTGCGTGGCAGTTGTGGCAAATCACATCGCGTAAAGTTTCTCACCCAAAAAGGAGCAGGAGCTTATTTTGGGTGATAAGCTTTATGCAGTGTGATTTGCCGCGAGACAATCACGACAAAACTGCATCATTGAAATAATGGCACCTGAACCTGCGGATTGCTATCACGGGCAGAATCGCAGCGATTCTGCTGCAATCCCTAAATGCCCAGGAGTGAATAGAGCCACCCTGTTTCACACATGCGATTCTGGATGCGTTTTCAAACTCACAGATTCGCATGATAGGCTAGATATTGTGTGTTCCTGTTGAGGGTGTTCACGCAGATGCTTTTTGAGTGCCATTGCAAAAAGGGTCCTGTGTGAGTTTTTAGCGGTGCGTTCCAGATTTCTAAGTAATAGAGTAGAGTGGCATGCGGAGATAAATGTTCACATAGGATTGTTATTGCAGGAGTTTTTGCATTGAAGTCAGTGGGGGGTGTTTTTGCATTGAAGTCAATGGGCGGCATTTTTGTGCATTGAAATGAAATCACTCAGAAACCAGAATGACATTGTGATCTCAATACATATGTGTGAACCCAGGCGAAAGAGGCTGCTTCTCTGCAGCACGGCTAAAGCCTCGTACACATGAACCGGCAATCGTACATAAAATTAACTGCTTTCGAAGTGATTGTACGATAACCTGATCGATAGTACACCGCTTTCAACAGCCGTTCACGACTGTTCATCCGAAATTATCCGAAGGGACAAACATGAGAATTTTGCTTTTACAATACCAGATCATACAATTTTCATTTAATCAGTGCAGTGTTTGGCAGATAATATAATACAAATACAATACATTACATTGCTTAGGAAATTCCATGCTGTCGTATGAGAATTTTTGTAAGTTGAGTAACCTCTTAATTTTCAATATGGAGTCTAGCATGCAAAACAAAAAAAAATATCATCTGTGCGATATTCTCATCGGGTGTACGGATCTCTAATGTGAAAAAAACCCCAACTGCCTGGTGCCTGGGACTGCATGTCCCAAGTGTCGTGCATCCCAGGACTATTTTTTATAACCAATAAAGTACGGTATATAATTTATGGGAATGCTCAAAGTGGTGCTTTATTTAATTTTCTTAATTTTTAATGTATATTTTTAAAATGTGATGCATATATCCTTCTCTTATACCAGATAGACCAATTGCAGTTTATAACTTGTTTTGAATAAACTGGTTAAAGGTTAGAGTCTGTCAAGTATTTATTATTTTAAGCATCAAAAACACTTAAAGCCCAACTCCAGCCGGGTGACCAATGCACATGTGCAAGGGGTGCTGCGCCTTGTGGATGGTCATGTAGTCTTCTGGGACTTGTCACGTGTCCCAGAAGACTATGGGGGGGATCTAGGCATTCACAGCGTAAGTGGGAGAGGGTACCTGTCAAAATAGGGCACCCACTCCCCAAAGGTACCAATCCTTAACAGGGAGCAGGGAACGAGGCTTTAAAGCAGAATTTCCACTTTTGATTGGAGTTTCGCTTTAACTACTGTGGCTGCCTTTTCCACTACTCTTATTTCTTAACAGTTAGTGATGTTTATGGCCGTGATCTGATTTTTGATCCAATTTTTTCAGTACGATTATGTAGTGAAACTTGAATGCAACTTTGATAAGGTGTGCATATTCTATAGGAACCAAAATCTCACCAAACTAGTACAGGAATCTTTTCCAAAATCATACTGATGTAAATGGGCACCATTGAAAACAATGTGAATTCCATTACCCTGTGATTCTTTGCAGCACAAGTCGTATCTGAAATCACACTAGTGTGAATGGAGCCTAAACATTCCCATGTATGTTATTAATTGCAGCATGTTAACAGCACATCTATGTGCCCATGTGTGTCCATGTGACTTGCACCTGTTTTAAATGAAAATTTAGATGAAAAGGTTTTTCAGCTTTCCACATATTAATGACAGAAATCGCACTGCGTCACTTTTTTGTTAATCGGAACAAACTGAATTTCCTTTCATTTTAATAATGGTTCAGAATAGCTTGCAGTTTGCCTAACTAGAAAGGTAAAAATTTTTTTGTTTATTTTCGGCATGCTGTGTGAGTGGGAACACGTAGCAAACGTAGTGGGTTTTTTCAAATTTGACTGCAAAAGTGGAAATACACTTTAAGGTAAGCAAGCGTGTAAGTGAAATCTACAGTGGGAGGGTTTGTCCTTTAAGGCTGCTTTCACAGGCTTTCTGATCCGTTCCACCTGTCGGTTTTTCAGGTAGATTTTATCGGAAGCCCCAGGCAAGGCTATGGGCAGGCATATATAAATAAACATGCGCCCATTTACATCCTTCTACCTCCGAGTCTGTCCAGGTCCGGAAAGGGATGGACCTAAATGTGAAAATTCGGAGGTAATCTAATGTAAGCGGACTCAAGTTCATTTGCATCTAGCAGCAGAGGCAGCTCTTTAATTATGTAAATTAGGCGGTCGCTTAAGGCCTTGCGCCCGCCTAATTTGCCTAAGGCTAGGTTCACACATGTATGGTGCAAATTTCCCATCCATTTTCACAGCATATTTCAAAAGACGCTATTTAGCGGTTCAGCTGCAGTTTCTAGATGCGGTTTAGATGTGAATTTTTGGAGCTGGAGGCCCCCGGTGTCTTTAACAATAGCTGGTTATTGAGGAGCAGGCTGGGAAGCTAGCGGCCGCGTCCTTAACGACCGATGACTCTTCAGCTGTTTGCAAAGAAAAACAGGAATTTTTCATTGCCGGCAATTCTTTTTTAAGAAAAAAAATAAAATGGTGTTGGGTCCTCTCCCAATCCTTACCAGGCTCTTCGCGTCTGGATTGTAAGGAGAATCTGCTAGTTCTTAAAAAGAAAAGGGGTGGGGCCACTTGGT